CACTCTTTCCTGTATGGCTCTGAACATGTACACAAGCTCTTATAATTTCAGCAGCTGTCAGCCTTCAGTGGTTTCACTGACAGCCATGGTTCTCTTGGGTCTTCACATGATGTTTGGAATGTCAACACTGAAGCTTGTGACAAAGCCATGGAAAGTGCCAGTTCTTCATTCTGAGACAGTATGAAGAGTGTTATCTACAGCTGTGTTTTCCAATCCTGGCCCTGGACTACCCATGTACTGTACATTTAAATGTTTTCCCTACTCCTGTCCTTGACTCAGTGCATCACATTATTAAAATTCCCTTTATGAGGTTAAAATGTTTGTGTCAGGGTTAACTCCAAGTGAAAAATGAAGAAAATGATGTTAAAATTCAATGTCATGATATTTTCCACATATATACAGTATCATGGTGTCAGATGATACAATAATCTGTGTGAATAAACTTGATGAACCCATGCTTGAGTACTGCTGTTCTATGGTAAAATAAAGTTTACAAGCCTGATATAGTATGCTTGGATTTGACTGTTTTGAACCAAAGGGAATCCTTACATAATACTGTAAATGTTGACCAGACAGAAATCACATTTCCAAAAAGGACTTTTTTAGTTTTGATGTATTTTGAACTGTATATAATTTTGTATTACAAACTATCAAAAGAAACTAAAGAAGCTGGCAAATAAGACATGTTGCAGTTAACTAGAATTTATGAAAAGCGTTCCAACTAAACAGTTCTGACACGTAATATCTACACCACAGTTAGTGGTGTCTATAGACCAGAGATGTCCAGTCCTGGTCCCGGAGATCTAACATACATGGCTCTAATATTCAGACACCCCTTAAGGCCTTTGTTACCTGGACCAGCTGTGTTACATTTGAGCTAAACTCATCAGGCTGGTAGATCTTCTGGACCAGGCTTTGGGGCACCACAGGATCAGAGTCAGAATAAATTTGAAAAAAAAAGAAGAAATAGAAACAGAATGACTAAAGAGTGGACCAAAAAGAGCTATACAGAAAAATTCAGGGAACCCAAACTCTACAATAAGTATGTGTGTTTTATGTAATATTTCACTCAAACAGTGCCACATAACCTTTAGAAATGTTTCCACTTCCTTTGTTGCTGTTGCACTGAAATGCCTAGGCAGAAAGAGCCTTCATCATATTTTATTTATTAAACATATTTATTTCATTAATTTATTTAGCTAAACAATAAAATTACCTTTTATGTTAGCTATCTAAATCGCAGGGTTAAGTCCGGTTGCAAGCTGACTAGTGCAGTAAACATGCTAATGAGTGTAGTCTTCTATACGAGCCTATTTGTCCACTTGTTCCGAATATTGTCTAAACCGCAGCGGTTTTCACTTGCAATTGCCTTCCAGCACTGGTAAAAGTTGTGTAATTTAAAAAGCAGACGCGTGCAGAGAATTGCAATGAGGAATCAGAACGTGTCACATAACTTCTAAGTTCTAGTAGGACAGAAATTTCTAAAAATAATTGACAGACAATGCCCAATGATATCCAGGACTGAAAACCAAGCAATTTACTTAACAACCTAATAACAGCCAAATAACACAATAACTATTAGCTTAAGTAGGGATGGTGGCACCCATGGTGACCTATCAAGTCCCCATTGCCCAGCTCCCCAAAAAAGGCCACCAATACCAGTATAGACATTATATTGGCCTGTACTACGAACACTGACCTATAGTTTACAGCTATGAAGAATGACATTTTGACAAAAATGTCCTGTAGTTTTAACACAGTACTACACAATTCCTCATCTAGATGTTTTTGAAACACAATTAAACAGCAAAATCCATATGGGAACAGCGTTCAAACCCATCTAATGCAAACTGAGAAAAAGAACAGTAGCAGTTTAAAGCATCATGCTTGCAATGTTTGGCTCTAACCCAACAGAGTAATTCAACAAACAAGGTGCTACATTTTAACATGTACCACCCCTCCCCTTTTTCTGATTTCTCTGACCACCACTGGCATGAAAACAAATAAATACTCTCTGGACTCCCAATCCACTACAAAAGCTCTGTTAGACTGTATAAATCATCCACCTCCCGAAAGCCTTGACACAGAAGAGAGAGACAAATAAAGAGAGAGAGAGCGAACGAGCAAGAGGGAGAGTGAGAGAAATCTCATCTCTGTTCCTGATGGGCTAGGAGATGTGTTCAGCATCAGATGGAATGCACAATTTAACTGAAAACCACTTTCACGTTCATCTTCCTGTTCAAACTTCTCAGTCAGTGTCTGCTTGTTGTGATTTCAATTACCTCCAACTACACATATTTTTTCTGTTCCCACTTCTAAATTCAAGTGGAGATTGTCAGACAATCTAGGTCATTGTGCCATCTAAGTACTTTTACTTACTTATTTATGTATGTATTTATGGACAGACATTTTTACCCAGTTTTCTCCGTAGTTAGTTTTGGGTGATGCCACTTGCTAGCTAGGTCTCGCACCATCAGACTATGTTACCAAGTTGGAAGGGGTGAAGGCTGGCATAAGCTTCCTCTGAGATGAGTGAAGCCAGACACTTGTTTTTAAACTGCCACTTACGCAATGTCACTGGACAGCTTAACACATTTGAAGGGGAAGCATCTACTGCTCTGGGAAGGCTTTACACTAGATGTTGGAATATTGCTGTGAGGATTTGACTGCATTCAGCCACAACAGCATTACTAAGGTCAGGTACTGATGTTGGGTGATTAGTTCTGGATCACAAATGCCACTTCAGCTCAGAAGCAGAATCCTCAGTGAGGATGAACCTCAATTATTTTGGGAGGTGTGCACATAATCAATTTCCTAAATTTAGGTCAAATTAAAGCTCATATATGCAAATGCCAGCATTGAGTTTTTTTTGTTCGATTTTTCAGCTTTTGCTTTTAATCTGTAAGGATGAATCATACTGGCAGACACAACCACAGTTGCTTATGCTATCTGTTAGCAATTATTTTAACCCATTTTTAATCTTTTTTTTGCCTACAGCTATTTATAATACATTTACTGTATTAAGGCTATTAAGCTAAATATTGCTTGGGAGCACCTTGGTGTAAGACACAGGCTGAGGGGGCACAACGGTTGTCCAGGGCTAATGTGGTGCCAGGGGGTGCTCCAACTTATCCCAAAGGTATTAGTGGTGCTCCATCACTTTAGAGAACAGATTGACTGCTCCACATTTTGATCAGTTGTATGTTTTGGTAAACTCATTAAAACAAAAAAAAATACATTTTACTAAAAGAGAATAAAAAAGCAAGATTTGAAAGTACTGTTTCGAGGACAAGACACCACATATTTGGCAACAAACGAACCTACTAATATCAGGTCTGTGACTCGGTCGCTGTATCTCTCTTGCTCACTTCATCTCCTATGTCGAATGCCTTGCCCTCTATTTTAATGAACAGATGGCATGCTAGCACCTCAGAGACTATCAGAGTAAAAAGACCTTCAGTCTGGTGGAATAAATGCATCTTTTTTTTCTTGTTAACATCATTTTTTTCTTGCATCAGCAGATTGTCCTATTAAGACTCTTAAAGATTCTAGCAACAGTCCATTAGTCCCTCACTCTGCCGGTTTTAAAAACCCCGTCACTCTGTCTTCCAGATATTCCGTCTTTTATTTATTGTATGTTATTTATCACATTGCCCTCTAGAATTGCTGATGTCCTTGATAAATAGGAACAAAAATGTTGAATAAAATTTACTTTTCACTTTGTATTGTGATATCACTTCTGACATTGTGATAGTGAAACAAATGTGTGTCAGTAAAAACAGGTATCATTTATTAGTGATAATCCTGGATTTACTGCTTTTTGCACTGTCCTTTGGAAGGTCTGTACTAGAGTTTGCCTCATAGACATGAGGAGAACTGGCAACCAGTTAACAGTTAACTTGTTATGAAATTTTACAGTCTATTATGTCATATATCTTATAAAGGTTCCACCGGAAGCAACAAACATATCCATCGCCACATACTTCAGTCAGGATTCCTTCTTTGCTGCTTGTTGTAAAAACGTTATGTTTGGTCTTGAATGTAAAACTTTAAAATTTCTACTGGCCCTAATAGAAAACGGCAGGTGCTTATAATTGCAGGTAGTTGTGAGGACAGGTTTTTTTTCGAAAACCAAGAACCACTTAGATAGAAACACTAATATGCTGCCAGAAAGGCAAACCAAAACCTCTATGACATCAAATGACCTGAAGGAAGGTTTAGCTGAGACAGGAGTAGCGGTGCACCATTTTACTGTGCAGCACTGCTTGCACAAACAAGATCTGCATGGAAGAGTCACCGGAAGGGCATTTTACCTGTGACACTTCGCTCTGGTTAAGTATATAGTTTTGATATCTCATGGTACTATGAGAATGTATAACAGAGAGAAGCTATTTTGCATATCATATATCTTAATTTATTATTACATTTTGTAAAGTTCTGACTCCTATGAGTGAACTGCATTTGTTTTATTTCATGCACATTGACCATAAACTGCATGTGCAGGCTAGTGTTTCAGTTTTGTACATAATGCATAGGCAGAATTTGTGCCTGAAACTGCTGCAAAAATAGCAGTACATCGAATTCTGACATTTTTTTTTGCTTGTCCCTTTTCCAGAAAGATCCACAGTCCCAGCATTACTTAGTATCTACCCCTATGAAATCGGAAGTGATGGTGATTGAGTACTACAGAGTTTTTTCATTGCTTTTTTTTTCTTTAAACTAAGCATATTATTTCAGTAATTTGAGGAGGCACATTATGTATCGAGTCAAGCTGTAGTATGGATGCGCAATATAACATAGAACTGGGAGTCATCATACGGAATTCAAACAAACATACTGGCAAGGACAAAAATGTGATATAAGCTGACTGAAATTAAATTATTTTTCCCTAATGATGCAGATTTTCATGGCCAAGTTCTGATGCATAAAATGTCAGCGCTAAAGGAAGCACTAATTGACTCAATGCAAGCATCAATTAAGTATGTGGTGATGAAACTCACAATATGCAGCATGATGTAGTCACCCAGTCGAGGAGCACTATCAATGCGAACCAGGATGCCATCTTTGATGGTGGTACTGAAGCCTACAGCCAGTCGGTCTGTTCTTGTACTGGGTCGTTCATTGCTGGGCCATGTGTAAGTAATCAATCCGCCACCTTTTCCAAAGATATATGTGGCTCCCGCTGTAGAGAGATGAGGAAAAGACAAGATGTCAAATCAATTTAGGTGATCTTTATCCTTTTTCAATATAACATGTATACACTGAAATGAAAAGTTAAATAATTTGAGTACACTGTGTCATTTATACTCATTCATTTGATGCTGCACAGTGGTTGTCTGATTAGTCATTGAGCATTACTGAACTGAATCTGCCTCACTGATACTAGGAAGAATTTCCTAACATGATGTCACCTCAAGTGCACGCAACCAGCAGCAACCAGCTTCATGATTTAGCTTTTACTCTAAAACATTAACCCGCTGACTTCTTTGTTTTATCAGGAGAGTGAATTATCCCAAAAGTTAGGTTGCAGCTCAGCCTGTTGCACTTCTTAACATATCAAAGCACAAAGGTCAGGATACAAACACTCACTCACTCCTGATTACTTTTTAATTGTAACAAAAACAAGGGTGCTCCTGAGTGGCGCAACCGTCTAAGCGTTGGCCCTATCATCAGGAGATCGCGAGTACAGCCGTCTGTAGCCGGGAGTCCAAGAGAGCACAATTGGCCTCGCTCTCTCTGGGTGGGTAGGATGGCCCCTCCTTCTCCCCCCATCACTTAACGCGAAGCTAGTCAGTCTGTTAGCTGACGTAACAGATCTGGCGGTTGGCGTTGCATGAGCGGCAGTTCGAAAAGAAGCGTGGCTTCACAGGTCTCGGAGGAAGCCTGTGTAAGCCTTCACCCTCCTAGCGTTGATAGTATCAGGTGATTGGGGGAGTCCTAACTAGTGGGTGGAATCGGAGACGATTAAATTGGGGAGAAAACTGGGTTAAAAAAAAAAATTAACAGAAACAGATCAAAAACTACTTAGTAGTTTCCCAGGGTTGCATTTGAGACACTGAAATATCGTTCAAAAGCCTCTTTTCCACTGTAATGGTTCTGAGAAAGGAGGGTAACCTAGTGGCATTTCCACATGGACACGGTTCCACACAGAACACTTAAAAATGGGCTCAGTGCAATTTTCTCAATGCAGTTAGCTAAGTGTTCGGGGCCACAGAACTGTTTGGTGGGATGATGTGATGACATAGCTATTCGTGGATTAGGTCAATATTTATGTCAATACTGTGCCACCGCATTCTGTGTTATGTCAAATGAGAAAATAATCAAGTAAGTTCAATTTGCTCACACAGACGCCAAATAAATGAAAGCAGTGCACAATTTTAAATCCACCACTCAATAAACATCAAAGTTTCAATCTAACAACAACTTCTTTCATATTAAACAGCGCTGCTAACCTGAAGAGAGTAGCTGGTTAGTATTAGTTTATCTAGCATGCTGCTAGCTCTTCTCACCACAGAACGTTACTAGATTCTGACTAACAAAGGCTTTAGTGACACGAATTTAGATGACTCAAATCTGAGGAAGCAAAGACTTGTGTTACACGGACAGAAAGCCAAAAATAATCATGTTCTGTTGTATATGGCTTGGTAGCCTCCCAGCTAAGCTAATGATAGCTGGCTCCTTGCTCCTAGCCAGCTTAGCTGGTGAGATCCGAACACCCCAGTACAGGTTCGATTCATCTAACTGCCCTGCTGAAAAAAATATAGAAACTATTAAGCATTTCTGTTGGTTCCTGATGGTTTTGTGATGGGTTTTGGCTTTTTAATGCGTTGATATCACAATGCAAAATAACGGTTTAACAGGTGACCGATGGCTGATTCTAAATGCATTTGATGGTTTCCTAATGGGATCTAAAGGTGTTCTATAGGAAACTAGTGGTCTCTATTGAAACCCATTAAGCCAATTACCATTAGAAAGCAAAATCATTATGCTAATCCTAATGGTTTCTTATGGTCCTTTTTCAGCAGGGCCACCATAGAACAGGCTCAGTTTCAGTAACTGATGCTCAAATAACACCCATTTAGGGGACAAAGAATCCGAGATCATGTCAAGTGGCTGGTGTTCGAGTGGTGTCGCAGCTTTCTGTTTTAGCAGCACTAAAGATGGAAAACGAAACCGTAACCGGTCTCACAGGTCCACATCAGCGGTGAACAGCACGAGTACAACCATGGGCACCATTTGGCCCTACAGTGGAAAAGAGGCAAAAGTTTATTTGTGGTTCTTATATGCTACCCTATGGTGAATTGCTCTGAAACTGACTTAGTGGTCACAGAGGAGTAGAACCTAGTCTTACATCTGAGTAAGTTCTTTTAACAGTGCGCTCTACTGCCTTAACTGGTAGCTGGCTCCCTTTTCTTGACCACTGGGCTCAACTCCTGACCTCCAAGCTGCTTATACAGAGCTCTTTCCCAGGCAAAAAGTGGAAAAAAAAGAGGAAAAAGAAAAAGGTGGTAACATAAGCGTCACCAACAAATGCGTATCTCCACAAATAAGTATCCTTAGACTTTAGAACCTAAACCTAAGCCTAAAGTCACAGTGTTACCTACCTAAATCTGTAACGTTCATAAACATCACTTTTGCAATGTTGTTAATATCGTTCACAGAGCCCTGAAACTGCATCTTAGTCAATTGAGGTCAGGTCTCACAGGCACTGGGATTAAAATATCAGAATTTATGTGAAGCGTATCCAACAGGCATACAATAAGCTTAATAAAGAGATCAAAGAAAGTCATTGGAACAAATCAGTGTGATAACACAGCTGAAGAAATCCTCATACAGTTCTGGGGGCAATACACAGGAGAAGGAATCATGGGTACCATCGCATGATTCCCAGCATGTGGCACACTTTCCATCTCCTCCTTATTTGATGCTGCTGTCTCACATGAACAAATGGAGGAAGAACACCATTCTGTTGTGCAATGTTCATGAAAAGGTGGACACCAGGTCAATCGGCTGGGATTTTATCACCTGAGACCGCAAATGAGGTGATTCAAACAGAGGGCAATGCCTCTCAAGCCTCCAAGTGTGATTTCAATTCACAACAAATCTGCAACATTGTTTCATGCCTCACAAATAACAATTCCAGAGCAAATTACCTTTAATAATTTGTTGAACCTAATAATCTTTACAGTAATGCAATAAGAAAACCTGGTAATAGACAACATCTGTTTTTGGCAGCCAGAAGACAATATATGGCTAAAATGGAGCACAATGTCACATAGTTCCTTTATCAAAATGAGGTGCTCCTTCTGCAGTGTCAGTCTTTCAGTCTTTTTCACTGCCCTGCTTGCAGTGCCCCATGTTGTTATTGCTACTGAATGTGTCATGTAAAGCTGATGTGAATATCTGGACTGTTTGGATATTTCAATCATAGCTATCTGTGGTATTCTGGGGAATATTCAAGCAGGCAGATTTGAGTGAGCATCCCATACAATTGGCCAGTCAAGGCCCAAATTATATTACAGATTCTCCCCTAGTAAAACTAACTTAGCTTGAATAACACTCTTATTGGTATAGCATTGGTGATCTCGCCTTGGAGTAGATTTGGCATAGCTCAGTGAAAGCATGGATATGCCGTTTCAGATCACCACTTAATTCATGGTATCAAAAGACAGCATTTTGTGACTGTAAGTAATTATTGTCTGTGCAGACTGAATTAGTTTAAGGTATACCTATTTTTTTCAACCTGGTGAAATGAGAGCAACACTTCTTGCTTCTTAGTGATTCATTCTGCATGAGCCATCCTGCTTCACTGCTGCAGTGTACATGAGGTTCTGATGTACATGCCAAACCCCAGGGAGTCAATTATCTCATTCAGAGAATTTGCTTAATACACGAGAATACCCTTCAGTCCTCACACTGCATACTGTATCACACACACACACACTGCACTGACACGCTATTTTGCATTCCACAACATTGAGAGTGAAAATAGAAAGCAGTAACTATGAAACTGTTTTTAACAGTTGCTGAAAGCTTTTTTACATCTGGTGGTTTATGTATAAATTCATTGGTTTAAATTGCATCTTCTGCAACAGTTTGTGGCTCTTTAATTCCAGTCTGAAGAAAAATTCATTAAAAAACCTTCAATACAGAACTAAATAAGGTGAGCTGTCAAACACAGGAAAATTTCTTCCTCCCTCATAAATGATTCTAAAACCTGACATCAACTGTGTTTTTTTTAATTGTGTTTGTGTCAAACTGCATTATGAGAATGATACTCTGTCTTATTTTCAGAATAACTGTAGATACGTCCCTGCATTAGTCTTCACCATGTAAAAAATCCTTAATAAATCTCTTCAGTATTTGTTTTTTCTTTGCCTCAAATGTATTTATTTTTTTTAAAAAGTCCCCCCTGTTGGTTTCAGTCTTTTGATTTATTCAATACCAAACATAGTCATGTCTCTTAAGAAGGCTTTTCTAATAATATTTCATTCTTATTTGAGCCAAATATATTCACCATTGTGTAAAACATCTATATGCTATGCCCTGGATAAGAGTCTAAAGAACAGTCTAAAGTCTGACTTCTTAACTATTTATTTATGCTTATAAAGTATGTTGGCAGCAGGGATTAAATTAGGATTTTAAAGATTAGGGAGCCCTGTTTTGTCCATGGGTGTCAACAAAGTGGGTAAAATCTTTTTCAATTTATGTGGAATTACATGGATTCTCAGCATTATTATCATGAAAATGCGATTGAGAACACTGATAACATGCTTTTGTATGAAGTCAATTAAGTCAATCGGATGTTTCATGTATTTCTTGTACTCGGTGCTGACATCAAAAATATATAACAAGTCACATTTAAACTGGCAACATAAACTGTTCTAAACAATCATGTCACCTAATCTTCACCTTTTAACTATATGCTTTGACCAGCTGCCTCCTATTTTTAAGAGACTGGTAGTAGAGCTAATGCAGTTCATTAAAAATACAAATGTGTGAGATGGTTCACCTCTGTGCAACACTTTATCACCAAGTATTCAGTACTATTCACTCAGACTTGGAAGCACCCTCGTCAAAGTACAGAAAACCACAGCCTTTAACTACTAATACTATAAACTAGTTATACAAATGCAAATGTGTGCCATTGAGTACTTTAGCAACAATCAATTGGCAAAACAG